GATCAGCTCTAGGCATGACGAAGCTGATATCGTCCTCTTTTGGAAGACCAAAGTAGCTTCGCTTTCACAACGAAAAACACAGCGTCTTCACGGCATGGCGTAACAATACTACAGCGAGAATAAAAGTTACATCTTCTTTCTTTGCGTGAACATTTGGGCGGTGTTATGCAAATCTTCCCACATAGTGAGGTAGATATGTGGGGGCGTGTTCGAACGAGCCGTTTTAGGTAGGTGTGGCTAACTCTTAACTTTTATAAAGAATATCTCTTTGGATTTGAGACTTTAGTCTTTGCAACTTTACAGATCTTCTTTATGCACCAAGAGCTTGTAACACTCTAAAGAGAAAGGAAAAAATGAAATCGCATCATATGACCCCTTTAATGTTTTTGAAGCAACTCTTATGCTCACCAATTTATTTGATCAGAAATATAGTAAAACTAATGTACTAAAATCTAAAATAACTATTTTCTATTTAAATATATATCTTAATATGTCATTTATTCCTGTGATGGCAAAGCTGAATTTTCAGTAGCCATTACTCCAGTTTTCGCACAACCCTTCACAAATCATTCTAATATGCTGATTTGCTGCTCAAAAAAAACAATCCTTATGCATAATATTCTTGTGGAAACCGTGACACATTTCTTTTTCAGGATTTTTTGATGAATAGAATGTTCAAAAGAACAGCATTCATTTAAAATGTAAATCTTTTGTAATATTATAAATGTCTTTACTGTCACTATTGACCAATTTAATGCATCCTTGCTGAATAAAATTATATTTTCTTTAAAAAAAATTTTTTTTAATCTGCTGACCCCAAATATTTGACCGGTAGCGTATACTGTGTGCACAGTATAACAGACATGAAGTGATGTGAACGATGTTGTTCCTTTTGTTTCAATCAGGGAACTCAAACACGGCATTCCAGTAACAGATGAGAACGACAATCGGGTAGGAGATTCTTCAAAGGCAGCTCAACAGGCCATCACACAAGTGGTGGTTTCCAGAATCCTCATGGCCTCTCCGGGAATGGGTTCGTTTATTCTAAATCTCTCAATCCTATTACAGTAGAATGGACTTTGCAACTATATTTATATTAAAATGTAAATCTTTTGTAATATTATAAATGTCTTTACTGTCACTATTGACCAATTTAATGCATCCTTGCTGAATAAAATTATATTTTCTTAAAAAAATTTTTTTTTAATCTGCTGACCCCAAATATTTGACCGGTAGCAGTATAACAGACATGAAGTGATGTGAACGATGTTGTTCCTTTTGTTTCAATCAGGGAACTCAAACACGGCATTCCAGTAACAGATGAGAACGACAATCGGTTAGGAGAATCTTCAAAGGCAGCTCAACAGGCCATCACACAAGTGGTGGTTTCCAGAATCCTCATGGCCTCTCCGGGAATGGGTTCGTTTATTCTAAATCTCTCAATCCTATTACAGTAGAATGGACTTTGCAACTATATTTATACAATTATGCATGTACAGTGACGTCCAAAAGTCTGAGACCACACTTAAAATCTGGAATCTATTTTAAACCTAGAAATAATGTTTTAAATATAATAAAATATATCAGTTTTTTTTTTTTTGAGTGGTCCCTCACTGTAGGTCTTATGCAAATGCAATGTTGATTTATCAAAGTGCATATCTGTTAAGGACACTGTAATTACAAATAAATAATCTATCATTCTAATTAAATCTTCCTATAGCAATCCCTCCGTTTTTAATGAACTCTTTGGAAAAGAAGGCCTTCCTCAAGGTAATTTCAAACTTACATTATAAATATTTTGTTTACATGGCGGAAAATCTTAATGAAAGCTATTTAGACTTAGCAGAGCACGTACACACCCAACAACGGTGTCTGGTCTGCTTGAATGCATTAGCCCTTAAAATGGCCCCATAGAATCAAGGGCTTTGTTGCCAGGTTGATTTTCTCCCCCTTCATTTTTTCAGAGGTTTCCGTGGATGAGTGCACCCATTCAAGTTGGCTTGGTTGGGTTCTGGTGAGTTGCCAAAGATAGATTGATGGTCTAATAAACAGTTATTTCCTGAAAGGAATTCAAGAATTTGTGACCCATTCTTTTGTACATTCTTTCTTCTTCTTAGCCTTGTGTTTGCAACCCCATTGTGCTGTGCGTTATTCCCACAAAAGAGGTGAGAACATTTTCAAAGCAGTTTGAATCTTTTCGGAATATTGCTTTTATGAATCATTCTGTTGCATTTCATAATTTAATGCATCATTCATGCAGTTCTATGGCAGTGAGCCGTTTGGAACCAGAGCTGCAGGAGAAGATTCGAGCCAGTCATCCTGGAGTAGAGACGGTCTACTTCAACAAAGGACTGTAAAGACAAACGTTGGTGAATCTGCTCTCTACTGTAATGGTCTCATGTTCATCTAAATCATCTCTTTGTGTGCCAAAGTTCACCCGTTCCTCTCCAGGACATCCCAACTCATTTGTCATTTTGTAAGATGTTTTTTAATTGTTTTTAAGCTTGTCGTTGCTGATCTTTGCCGATCTTTTTGTCTGACATGTATGACGGTGCATACATGTAGCATTGTGTTTTTTTTATTTTTATATTTGAAATAATTTTGTTTGCTGCCAGATTATTCCATGTGCCATTCAATGTCATTTTCAGTAAGGATCAAAGATGGCTGGTGTTGACCTTGTTTTTCTTTTCCGTTAGTCTGTGTTGCATTGTTATTGTCAGTATTTTGTCTTTATCTCTTCATGAGGGTTGCAGTTTATACGTTACTGCCCAATTTCATTTCAGTTTCAAGCAAAATCAAGGGACCTCTTAATGACAATAGTGCAATCCGTTGAAAACGTTGCCAAATACAAACCTCTGCTGCACATTTCCTTAGTTATACAAGAATAGTGTGTATGTTCATATAATTTCTTCTGCCTGCTGACAGTGCATGAACAAACGTTTTGTAAGCGAAAATAGTGTGAGGGTAAAGTTCTACGTGTTCTCATTGACTGTTCCAAAGTCCACTCCTCTAGCAGTTCAAGGTAACACATTGTTTTTCAATGCAAACTTATCAAACCTGCATCTGTTTTCTATTTTATGAAAGGCCATTTACTTCAGTCCACCTTAAAAACGGTCTTTTCATGTGCCATATTTTGTTACGTTTAAGGTAACACACAGCAGTCTCCATTAAACCTACTAGAATAACTAGAACAATCTAACAGTATATAGGTTAATGACTAAATGGAAGGTAATGTGTCATTTTCTGTATCTTTCAAAGAAAAGACACAATCCAATAGTATTTTTTTTTTTTTAGCTAGTGTGATTTTTCCTTTTATGAAGTGCTACACTGCCTTTCCGTAAATCCTGTTCTTGTTTGCCATCTACACTACATGGGCAAAGTACATGGACAGTTCCTTTGAATGAACAGGTTTGGCTATTTCAGTAATTTATGATGACAAGTATTAATGCAACTGCATAAAGATTTTTTTTTATTTTTTTTTATTGTATTTTAGTAATCTACATTACTCCAGTCCATCAGGTAATGTCTTGTAAAGTGAAAGGCTGCATGTTTTTAACTTTAAACCGTTGCTTCAGGCAGGACGATTTTTTTCACTTGAGAAAGCAATATTATGGATAAAGACTTAAAAACGTGGATTTGTCTATAACGAACACACAGCTTTTCGCTTCACAAGACGTAAATGGATGTACTGGAGCCATTTGGATTACTTGTGCATTATTGTGATGTTTTTATCAGTTCTCATTCTGACGGCACCCATTCACTGCAGAGAATCCTTTGGTGAGCAAGTGATAATGCTAAATTTTTCCAAATCTGTTCGGATGAAGAACAAACTACATCTTGAATGGCCTGAGGGTGAGCAAATTTTCATTTTTGGGTGAACTATTCCTTTAATGGAACTGCATACAGTGATATTCTAGAAAACTGTATGTTAAACTTTATGCTTAAGGTCCATAAAGAACTGACTTGCCACCTTTTTTGAAACAAGATGACTGGCCTACACAAAGCCTCGTCCTTTAGGATGAATTGTAACACAGGCTGTGAACCAGTTCCCATCACTGCGTCCATGTTCCAAAAGCCAAAGCCTTCCCAGAAGAGTTTGGAGCAAATGGATCAAATCAAATAATGCTTTTAGTTTAAAGCGACATATGGGTATGTGTTTGGATGTCCATGTATTTTTGGCTATGTTATGTATTTTTAGATTTACTGATGTTAATCTTTGTGAACTTTCTGTTTAATTGACTAAGTCTCCATGTGTTGAGGTATTTAAATATGTTTAATGTTTAATATGTAACCTACTAAGAGAGCACAACAGCTCTCGGTTAGCTCTGTGTTGAGCACTCTGATCTTTGTTGTTGATGTTGATGTGTCACATTTGTTCAGTTCTTGAATGTAGTGTTGGCAGTAATGAAATCAAACTGAGAGCATGTACATTTCCGTGGATAGACTGCTGGTTCTGTTGGTAGCCACTCTTAGTTTTTGTTATAATTGTGACAAAAGCACAACAGTCCTTGTTCTTCAAGATTCCCTGAAGGTTTTCAGTATTATGCTTCATGTATCTCTGTGAAAGATGATGGGTAGGGGACAATTCTAGGTGTTTATAATGTGTTTAATGTGTGCCAGATCAGTGACGCCAGCGTCACTAACATTCGCAGGGCCTGGGACAAATTTTTGTTGTCCCCCTCAATGAAGGCCCTAGGTGCTCAGATCTTTGATCATTCCTATTCCATTTGAGATCTGTGATACTTCTGGTATAAATGAACTGAATTCATAACTGATGTGTCAAACAACTGCTGGTTTGTTCAGGAGAATCACAACAGCAATGTAGCCATGAGGATCTTTAGACAGGAATTTACAGCACATCTGTTCTTTTTAATCATTATAAGGTAGCTGACTTTATTAATATACTAAGTGGAATTCAGTGTTTTCCTGAACAAGAAAACATTTCCTTGTGCATTGAACAGCATAATACTGTTTGTTTCCTGATCCCATATTATGTAATCAATCACTAGGCTATAACTCAAGGAATCTGCATACTTGGAACAAAACGGGAATACTCTGAGGTGACACAATGGTCTGCTCTTCAAATGAACAAGTCGCTCTGATTCGTATAATTTGTTTACAGTGAATGAGATGGGTGTACGATTTTCAAGATGAATATTTAAAAAATGTTTCTTATTTTACAGTGAATGGGGATAGTGTACTGTGTAAATTACACTGTACTCTGGATTACCTAAATGAAATAAAGAGTATTAAGCAATGTCCTCATAGCTATATTTGTTTGGTGTATCACACTAGATTTTAGGGTTGTGCATTTTAATTTCTTACAGTTTCCTCAGTATGAATGAACAGAAATTCGTTCACTTACCTTCCACTGGTTGTTCTATTCATCAGTGTTCGGCGCTTATGTCACGCTTAAAAATGAATGTCATTGCATTAAATAATAACAATATATATATATAAAAAAGTTTAAATCAAATCATAAAATAATATACTAGTTGTTGGCTTCGAACGTTAGTGCTATATCATTATCTTTCAAATTCATAACTTTTAAATATGGCCCAAGTGTCTGTCTTCTGTTGCTAATTATAGGTAAGGGGTATAAACAAAACGATGAAAGGGCGACACATACTGGACATACTTGGAACTCAACACTTCTGGCTGTGTACTGTAGACACAACATTAGACTAATATAGAATCTGAAGATGATAATTGTTTGAACCATTTCGAAGCCTCTGTGTTTAACACACACACACGATAATATATCATATAATATATAGAATTAAAATGAAACAATCCAGATGAAATTGAAGTGCAGACTTTAAGTTTTAATTCAAGGGGTAGAACAAAACCATTTTATACACAGTCCCCCCATTTTCAGGGGCTCAAATGTAGTTGGACAAATAAAAATAATCATAAATAAAATGTTCATATTTAATATTTTATTGAGAATCCTTTGCAGGCAATGACTGGAACTCATTAGGGTTGTGCATTTAAATTTCTTACAGTTTCCTCAGTATGAATGAACAGAAATTCGTTCACTTACCTTCAACTGGTTGTTCTATTCATCAGTGTTCGGCGCTTATGTCACGCTTAAAAATGAATGTCATTGCATTAAATAATAACAATATATATATATAAAAAAGTTTAAATCAAATCATAAAATAATATACTAGTTGTTGGCTTCGAACGTTAGTGCTATATCATTATCTTTCAAATTCATAACTTTTAAATATGGCCCAAGTGTCTGTCTTCTGTTGCTAATTATAGGTAAGGGGTATAAACAAAACGATGAAAGGGCGACACATACTGGACATACTTGGAACTCAACACTTCTGGCTGTGTACTGTAGACACAACATTAGACTAATATAGAATCTGAAGATGATAATTGTTTGAACCATTTCGAAGCCTCTGTGTTTAACACACACACACACGATAATATATCATATAATATATAGAATTAAAATGAAACAATCCAGATGAAATTGAAGTGCAGACTTTAAGTTTTAATTCAAGGGGTAGAACAAAACCATTTTATACACAGTCCCCCCATTTTCAGGGGCTCAAATGTAGTTGGACAAATAAAAATAATCATAAATAAAATGTTCATATTTAATATTTTATTGAGAATCCTTTGCAGGCAATGACTGGAACTCATGGACATCACCAGAGACTGGGTTTCCTCCTTTGCGATGCTTTGCCAGGCCTTTACTGCAGCTGACGTCAGTTGTTGTTTGTTTGTGGGTATTTCTGCCTTTAGTTTTGTCTTCAGCGAGTGAAATGCATGCTCAATCAGGGTTGAGATTGTGAAAGGGATCCACCGATCATCCACCACTGTTGTCATCCGTGAATGTCCAGGCTTTTTTATGTTGCTGTGCTCACCAGTGCATTTTTTTCTCAGAATGTACCAAACTGTTGATTTGACCGCTCCGAATGTTCCTGCTATCTCTCTGATGGATTAGTTTTGTTTTTGAAGCCTAACAATTGTCTGTTTCACTTGTATGGAGACATCCTTTGACAGCATGATGTGGGTTCAGAGCAACAGCTTCCAAATGCAAATGGCACACTTAGAATCAACTCCAGACCTTCTACCTGCTTAATTGATGTAGAAATAACGTAGGAATAGCCCACATCTGTCCATGAAATGGCTTTTGAGTCAAATGTCCAATTACTTATGGTCCCTTGAAAAAGGGGGGAGGTAAAGAGCTGTAATTCCTTAACCCGTTCTCCAATCTTTATATGAATACCCTCAATTTAAAGCTCAGAGTGTGCACTTTAAGCCCATATTCATTATATAACATAACTGTAACTTGAAAAGCCAGAGGCAACAACAGCTAAAAATAATAAAATTGTGCATGTGTCATATATATGATAATTTATTATATAATATAATAAATTTAATTAATTAATTAAATTTATTTTCATTAGTTAGTTAGTTAGTTAAATGAAGAAGCTGGTTGTTTGGGTAACTATATCTGCTGAGAATCTTGTCCAGCACTGAGATGTAGGCTACTTGATTTGACACTACTTGAGAGAGACACTCAAACCAAATAAACAAGTCTTTTCTGAAACAAGTGCGTTTGTAAGTGCTGTAGGAGGAGTGAACATGGGCAACCCGGACAGCATTTTAATTCAGCCAGAGGGTGTTTCCATCAAGTGGCCATATTAGAATGGTGGAGAGAGAGAGAGAGCGAGAACGAGAGAGAGAGAGAGAGAGAGCGAGAGCGAGAGAGAGAGAGAGAGAGAGCGAGAGAGAGAGAGAGTGCACGAAAGTCAGCGCAATAAATGAAAGCATACTGTCAGTGCTTTCTATCGCATTAATCTGCATGGCTGCCACAGATGTGAACATATATCCTGTAAGTTTTTTTTGCCTCTTATA